TGGCGGACTGTCACCTTCGGCGGCCACCTCGGCTATGGCGCATCGGTCCTGCATACGACGACGTGCATGGAATAGCGGGTACCAGCTCCGATACCAATGCAATCAGACTCGTCTTATTCACACTTTTCATGTGTGCAAACAGCAATACAGTACACTGGCGACATGCGCCCACACAGAACTCAGAGATATGGCTTCCAGATACGAGTTTACTTTCAATTGGCTATGGCGACTTAGCGCCCAAACAACTCACTGTCCACACACTGGATCACCCTGGATATCCCACACACGTCACTGTGAACACTTAAACGTGCACACACACTCTTCCCACTAGCTACCGCTATGGCAGCTATGGCTGCCTCTACCCTATCGCTATGCTAACTCCTCCTCTCTCGCCCACTGCGTCCTCCGGGCTCACTGCAGACCTCCTTGCACAAGTCGCTGTGGCAGCGCTTCCGCATGGCTCACGCAGGAATGAATGAAAGGCTGGGCGCTGCCTCTTGATTTATACTTCAGAAACTCGTTGGTCTGCCCTTTGCCATCGGCCCATGGTGCTCACAGTCCCCCCCGTGGTACTAGCGGCCCGCCAGATTCGGTTGCCTTCCCCGATCTATACTAGCGGCCCGGAAATGCCAGTAGATGTAAAGGATGGGGTATCGGTCGTCCTCCCGGAAAATGGAACGTGGACGGACCTTGAACCAGCGTATCAAACGGTAATGCTAGAAGGAGAGGATGCTTTCATTTGGATAGAAACAATATGGATTAATGTCAGCTTGATGAGGTTGTCACCAAGTTTAATGGATTTGGAATTCCGAGGGACAATGGAAGCCCGGGGGTGGGTCTACTTGTCGCAAGATGGGGAGAAAGCTATGATCATAGAGTTGGCACTCGGGAATACGCCAGACGAGTTGTTTAGGAAGGCAGAAGCAGAGGTTGTGTGGGCTGCATGTCAAGGGAGGAAAATGGAAATGGAAAAGGTAGACGTACGGGTGGAACTCGGGGATAGAAGAAGCATGAGGCGACCCGTCAGAACCATGCGATGCGTGTTGCCTCCCTTCCTAGTGGATGCGGTGTTTGGAACCCGGAGTAGGCTGGTAAGGATATGTCAGTCCATGACGAACCTCGGGCTCTACCAATGCGCTAGGCAAGATTTTTTTCGGTTATCAGTAGAGATCGGGCCGTTCGAGGGGAACTGGGCGGAGGAGCTGGCCGAGATACTAAATTGCCTTAGCATAGACAATATCTTTGTCCCTAGCGCTGTGCATTGGGGGATAGTCTACATGAATGTGGCAATAGAGGAGACGTTCCTATATGGGGTAAGGGAGTTGGTGCACGACGAGGAGGACGACGTGATGAAGATGAAGCTGAAGAGATAGAGGACTGGGACTTCTGAGAGGGGTGGGGAAACTTAACTTAGGAAGGGCGGGTGGCCTGGTATTGTGCAGTAAAGGGAAAGATGACTAGAGAAGAAAGGATGATGGAATACCCCTTCAAAGGCTGGGAACCACGACGACTCAGAGGAGGAATAGAAATGCCTATACCAACAGGGAACGGATGAAGAGGGACCACGTGCGACTGAATTGGGTTTGAGGTTGCCCGGGACTTGTCATATGTATGGATAGAGCGGATTTGGAACCCGATAAGGGAAGAGGAAGGTTGGGATGATATAGCAGAAGGCAAGGTAGAGTCAGTTGGAACGATTGTCCTTTCCTAGGATGGATGGCACCTGTTTTGCACCATGTTAGCAATGGGATAGGACCCGATGTGGCTTCTAGGGGATGCAGAGGCCCGAACCCGAAAGGAAGGCAAGCTATTCGCCAACGAGGGATGGGACGAAGTTAGTAGCAGAGTTGTGATGGGAGGATGGAAGGAACTCAAACCTCCAAGTCTACGGATAACGGCTTGGGTACCGGAATTCATAGCTAAGTGGTTTGGGGGGGTTGAGCACATTTTAGAAGTAGCCGACTCCATGAGAAAGGTGCATATAGAGTGTGTCTGGCTGACTGAGGAGTTCTATAGGCTCTCATTGAAATATGGGCCCTTCTACGGAGATAGAGCCGAGGAAGTCATCATCGTCCTAAGAATAGGCAGGTATGACCGCCTAGAGGTAGAGGCGGAGTCTTGGGACGCCATAGTTAGCCGGGAGGCGGCGGCTGCACCTTCCTACGTAGACGACGTCTTTAAATTATTTGAGGTACTGTGGTTCGACTGAATGAGGCCAAGGGATCGAACGCCGCGAAAAGGCCTGAGTATGGGGGGGGTGCTTGTGAGGTGAGGTGTAACATAAGAAAGGGAGTGTGCACATTAGGCCGTAGATGGTGCATAAGAATCGAAACAAGGGGGAAGTGACGACAACTGGAAAGTGGGGGTCGGGTAGAATTGAACGTGTATGAGTTGGGGGTAGCGGCAGGAACCAGTGTACGATAAGTAGGGAGGGTTGAAAGACTAAAACACGAAAGGCATGGAATCTCGGTGGGTGCAGCGATCAGACTAAGAAAGCAGGAAAGGAGACATTGCGAGATGGTCCGGCGAATGACGTTCTGGGCGGATAGACCTCGTGGGATCCTGCCACCAAGAATATCAGAGGGCAGGGTCGAAATAAGCCTGCCGGCAAGAAATACGATAGGCAATCCGGTAATGGACTGGGTGGGGGTAGAGTTGGTGGAAGATACGGTGTACCTAGTTATGGAGCTGGAATGGCGTGCGAGAGGGGAGTTCGGGGATATGGACTTGAACCTCCCAGGGCGTGTACGTGCGACGGGATCCTTACACCTGTCGGAAGAGGGATGGCGGACCTTTAGGATTGCTTTGGCTTCCGGGGATGACCCCATACGAATGTTCGAAGGGGCATGGCAAATAACATGGCGGGAGGGGTTTGAGTTTGCAGACCCGGAACGAGATGACGTAACGGCGGAGGTAAAAGTCGACGCGGCAGGGGTTTTGGAGCTGCCAAATGAGGTCGTACGGATGAGTCTGCCACCCTTCCTCCTAAGACGAATGGGAGGCATAGAACGAGTGGAGCAGGCGGTGACTGACGTAACTAGGCTAAATTTTAACGAAGCATTAATGTATCGGGAATACTATCGGGCCTTCCTGGAGATGGGGCCTTTCAGGGACGAACAAGGGCACGAGGTGCTTTGCATTCTACGAGCATCTATGAATACTAGGCCAGGAGTCCCGCAAATAAGTGATGAGACCATGTGGAGATTCATCCGGCGAGAGGTAGGTCGGGGCGCGACCTACATAGATGATCTCTACCGGTTGTACGAACAGCCAGAGGAGGCTACCGCTCCCGGGGGTATAGAGGGATAGTTGGGACTAGAAAGGGGAATGAAAACACGAAGGGCAAGGGAGGCAGTAGGTGGGCAGATTCTGAAGGTTGGCTGTGACCCTTTCTATGTGGACTATGCAGGAAATCACCAAGGTAACAATGGCAGCAAGACGTGAGCGAGTGGAACGCCAGCCCCGTGTGCGAATGGAACGCCAACCCCGATACCCCGGACCGCCCTGGAACAACGGTGGACGATGGGAAGTATCCCTCCCGTCGAGTTCTACCTATCGGGGGTTCGACACCGAATGGCGGGCCGTGACTTTGGGAAGGGACGCCGCCTTCATGTTAGTAGAATGTCGGTGGACAGGGATGAGACTCCACCGAGGACCCGGAGACGATCTGTTCTCCAATCTGGAAGTTACCGGGACCATGTATCTGCCTGAGATCGGCTGACATTCGTTGGGGGTAGAGATAGCACAAGGTCACGAGCTGGCACCAGTCTTTCAAAGGGTCGCCCGGACGTTGACCCGGATAGGACATCCGGTCAGAGGAAGAAGGAACGTGGGCTTACTTACCCTGGTGGAGATGGGAGGTTGAAGGGAGTTCAGGGCGCCGACCACACCGCTGAGATGTCGAGTGCCCTGTTTTATGATAGACCTCGTCTTTGGAAGCCTCGTAAGGGCGCGGGAGCTGGCGGACTCAGCGATAGTCTGGGCAGGCCACTTTCCCTCCCCTACCATTGGGATGTTCTACGATGTCGCTGTGGAGTACGGGCCGTTCTGGGGAAACAGGGCCCACAAATTACTAGAAGTCATCCACATCCTGATGTTTTGTGCGCCCCAGCGATAGTCTGGGCAGGCCACGTTGACCATGTAACTCTACTAGGATTTCGTTGCGGTGCTTACGGCAGGAAGCCGGATCCGGCAAAGACCGACAAGATATCACAGTGGCTGACACCACTGCGCACGACGACGAAGGTAAGGGCATTCCTAGGCGTAGTCGGCTTTTGGAGGATCTTCATTCAGAACTTTGCCAAGATTGATGAGCCTATCCGGGCTATGATCAGGGAAGAAGGGACCATGGATTGGACGGAGGAGCGAGAAGGAGTTGTCCAAAGGCTCAAGGACATATTGACATCTGAGACAGTCGCCCTGTCCGCGCCTTGTTTTAATGACGAGGTGGGACGACCCTTTATCCTAGAGACGGATGGAGGACCTTTGGCCGTAGGAGGTGTGTTGATTCAAAGGGATGAGGAAGGAAAAGAGAGGCCAATTAGGTTCGAAAGTAGAACCCTGAACTCCGCAGAACGGCGGTACTCGCAATTCAAGAAGGAAGTCCTAGCCATCCTGCATTGCCTTAAGACCTTCCAGGCCTACCTATTTGGGAGGCGGTTCATCTTAAGGATCGATCCGACGAATGTTGCAGGGGATCTAAAGAACTACAGGCCTATAGATCCGACGGTAGGGAGATGGGTAGGATTTATCTGGCAGTTCGATTACAATATCGAACGGATTGCTGGAATCCGCAACAAGGCAGATGGGATAAGTCGGGTTTGCACCACTCCCGAAGGGATGGAGGATGCAGAGCCCATAGACGCCTTCCTCGAATACGAAGGAGGTACTCTCGCAGTGGATAACGAAATGATGAGCGAGGGATGCACATCGGGAGAACTATTGATCCAGACTTTGGAGAAGGGGGCACCTACCGTAGTAACAGGACTTAGAGAAGGACCAGTTACCACTCGAGGACGCAGAGAAGAAAATGACTCATGGGGAGCGATAGTAGGACCGAAAGAGGAACTAATGGCAATGGCGGTAGAGGGAGGCCGGGAAGCAGTGATGAGCTTAGTGGAATCTTCGGAAAGGAAAGAGTTGCAATGGGTGGTAAACCAGATGCAGGAAGGAAAGGATGGGGGCTAGGACGGGGAGGAGTTTTTCTACGTCCAATCATACGAAGGGCTCTTTCGGGAGATCGGGTTGTTGTTGGTAGGAAACAAACAACCTACGAAAGTCAGTATTAAGGCAAGAGAAGTAGCCGAAAGGTACGTACAAAGGGGCGGGCATTTCTTCCGAAGGGAGGAAGGTGCTATGCCCAGAAAGGTTGTGTGCGGAAGACCTAGGCAAGTAGACGTTATCCAGGCAATGCACGACGAGTTAGCTGGAGGTCATCGGTCGTCCAAAGGAACGCTTGCAAAGATAACACCACTCTATTATTGGCCAAGCATGGCAGGCATGGTCGCCATTTATTGCCAGACTTGCCTTATTTGCCAAGAACGAAGCTCGGTGCGGGTCTTCGAGCCACTTAGACCAACGCGGGTGCTAGGGCCGGGACATCTGGTCCACCTCGACCTTGTGGTCATGCCTGCATCAACGGATGGGTACAAGTATATCCTGGATGCGTGAGACAACTTGAGTGGGTTTGTGGAGGCCGTCGCCCTCAAGAAAAAGACAGGGAGGAGTGTGGCGGACTGGATAGAAGACTTCTACTTAAGGCATCCGTTCGTCAGGAGGTTTATAGCAGACAATGAGACGGAATTTGTGAACCAAGAAGTATTGGGGATGCTTAAGAGACTTTGCTTAAGAGACGGAAAGGGGGCACCGAACCTTGAAGAACACGATTGCAAAGCTTGCAGCAGACCATCTGGGGAACTGGCCTAGGTATCTTAAGCAGGTTGTCTTTGCAGAGAATATGACTCCTAAAAGAACAACAGGATGTATCCCGACAGAGCTTTGGTACGGAAGGGAGATCGACTTTCCTGTGGAAGCCTTGGTACCTACCTGAAATAGGTTAGATGATGAGCCGCAAATGACCACTGAAGAGTTAATCGAGGCAAGATGTCAACAAATCCTTAAGGAGGCCATGGAAGACATCGCCAGCCGGGCGCTGGACAACAGAATAAGGGACAAAGCAAGGTGGGACCAGGTTAAGAATGTCAGAAAGGAGCCACTTCAGATGTAGGAGATGGTATTGCTAAGGAACTCGGCACTAGAAAGTACTTGGTCGGGACAGTTGGAAAGGAGGTTCAAAGGCCCCTAACGGGTCGCCAAGCGGGTGGGACTGAACACCTTCGAACTGGAAGATTTGGATGGAACTGGATTGAAAGGGCCCTTCCCGGGGCAACGACTGGTCAGGTTTCTAAGTCGGGACCCAGTGGAACAATGGCTTCAGGAGGCCGAAGATAAGGAAACTGAGGAGCCACAAGCTAAAGACTAACCACGGTTTTGCCCACACTATGGTTTGACTCTGACCATGTTCGTGGGACTGTCATTTTTTTTTGGGACTGGCGCCTTGGCTTGGACTGACTGAGGTTGAAAGACAACATGACTTGGGGGTTTGCAATATCTGGCTTGTGTGACAACGGGAAGGGATGTTTGGGGCATTGTACCATAGTTTTTTACGGGAAAAAATGGGGCCATCACAAACGACGCATTCGCATGTATATTAGGGGCGTGATGCGAGGGATACTGGGTGCATTTTGGGAATGTCTACCGGCCTAAAAGGGGGGGGAGGCGCGAGTGTGTGAGGGACGTTGTGGGTGTTGTTTTGTTATACAGGGCTTAGAAGTAAAACGAGAAAAGACAAAAAAATGAAATTCGGCAACGAGAACGACAGCGGGGCAATCAACAGGCCTACCGGAGGGGACCAAGCCAAGGGAGGAGGACAACGAAGAGAAAATTGTACATTGGGCTCAAGGGCAAGCCAGTGGTAGGCAGGGGTGGAAGGAAATGCTTGTGTAGGAAACCCTCACCCCTCCGCAAGGGAGAAGGTATAAAAATATCATCTGACAGTGAGGGCGAAAAGGGAAGGGCAAATGTGGAAGAAAGAGGCAACACAGAAATGGGTGATAAGGCTCGGGTCTCTAACGAGGAAGGGGCCAACAGGGGCGAACCAAGTGAGACTTGGCATGGGGAAAGCGAGGGGGGACAAGGTATGCGCGACGAACGTGAGGAGGAAGAGGAGAAAAGGGAGATCCTGCTTGAAGGACGAAGCGGTCACGGCAATTGCGAGGGGTATGGGATGGGGACAAAGATACCTTTTACCTACGATCCAAAGGACCTTGCTGGTGGGTATAGCCCCATACAGACTGAAGACGAGGGTGACGAGGAGGAGGATATGCGAGAAGTCATAGAAATCAGCAGCGGGGATAAGATCTCAAGGCCTAGGGAAGAGGGGCAGCCTCCGATGCACCAACCGGGCGATGGGGCTTTCAGATGGGAGGACGGGTTCGGGCCCACGCGCAGTCATTGGTTTCAGCTATGGACCAATGTAATCAGGCACGAATGGATTATCAAGACTCGGGAACTCGCAAGGGCAGGGGTGGAAGCCACACCACTGGATTTTTTTAACGAGGCAGAGTTGCATAAAATTGTAAGGATGAAAAAAGAGATCGAGACCTACGGCCTGGGGGTTAGGAAGCCTGCCAAGGAACGGGGTGGACAAGGAACTGGGCAAGGCGAGGCGCAAGGCAGCAATAGGAACTAGGTGTTGACTTAGCATTGAAAAGGATCGCTGCCTTTCCGTCTGCAGAGACATGAGAATGGCGGGAACGTGTATAGTATGGGCAAACTTGCAAAGGATGAGTGATGGAAGGGCCAGCTAAGGCTGTGTCACGATAAGATAGAAGATAGTTTTTGAGGCTACTTTTTGGATGAGCTACCTTGAGTACATGAGACAAAAACATGAGATTTGGGATGAGACCAATTGGGAGAGGGTGTATTGTGAATTCTCGATGGAATAAGGATTATGCTTTTGAGAAGGAAAAAAAACCTTGAGTACGAATTGACGAGCAAACCATGGCATTGAATGATTGGTCGAGTACAAGAGAGGTTAGGGAACCTATGGGTTAAGGGGCGTGAAGAACACTCCTTCCCTAGGAGCCTAATCCAACTGAGTCATGAATGAGACTGAGAATAGCTGAAACCTGAAAGATCAGGAAGAGTGAAAATGGAAGGGGCACCTTTGTCATTTGTTATGGATGAACGGCCGGGTGGGCTAGTGCTGCTTGGGGTCGCAAGCCCCAACTCGAGTGCTTGACGCTAAGTCGGATGTACGCATGGACGGTTACTATGAGGAATGGAATGGATGGTACATTACTATGAGGAATGGAATGGATGATATTCAATAACCGACCCACCGGCCTTTTCCATCTCTCTCATTCATCCTTTGGCTATTTCAATGACTGATCCATCGGCCTTTTCCATTTCATCCTCAATCAACCTTTCTCAATCAAATATGCAGGCAACCCTAGTGCCTATTTCAAAAGGAATGACCCTTGTCAGGGGCCATTGCCAAACAACCTGGTTAGGGTCGTTCTTTTCCATTCTCAAGTCGAACAGCTTGGTTAGGGTCATTCCTTTCCATTCTCAAGTCGAACAGCCTGGTTAGGGCTATTCTTTTCCATTATCAAGTCGAACAGCCTGGTTAGGGTCATTCCTTTCCATTCTCAATGTTAGTGCCCGAGGGGGTGGGCCTCGAGGTTACGGATCCCATTGAATGAGAGAGATGGAAAAGGCCGGTGGGTCGGTCATTGAAATAGCCAAAGGATGGATGAGAGAGGTGGAAAAGGCCGGTGGGTCAGTCGTTGAAATAGCCAATGAGTTGAATGGAGGAAATGGAAAAGGCCAGTGGATCGGCCACTGAAAATTGCCAAGGGGGCGAAAGAAAAATGTGAATGAGAAGGACAAGATAAAGAAGGCGGAGCCTTAAAGCCGAGAAGGGCAGGGATCGTAGGGACGGTCACAAAGATTGGGTGTTGAGAAATAAGAAAATTGAGGATTGAGTGAGCGAAAGGGTCAGTCTCAAGAAATGGCTATTGAGAGAATGACCGCCAGACCGGCCATGGGGGTGGCCTTGTTGATAAGAGGCCGTCAGACCAGCCATGAGAATCAACCTTGGAAATAGCATTGGATTGAATGATTGAGGATTGAATATTGCATTGCATAGGCAGGGGACCCTAGGCAACTTGAAATGGACTTGGAAATAACATTGAAATGGATTTCTCTTTTTCTAGTCTTTGGCCTCAGCAGGAGGGGGATACTAGTGCTCGCACCGCGACCCCAAGACCTCTATCCCTGTAAGGGAAAAAGTTTCAGCGCGACCTGTTCCTCTTGTAAGGGGATGAGGGTTAAAGGACCAAGGCACCTACCACTTGGATCGATGCGGGACGTCCGGAACTGACCCGACAACGAGCTCTAGTCGGGAAGTTCAAATTGCGCCTCGTGTTGAACGCCTAAACGTCAAAGGGTGAGGGAACCAAATGGGCGAGAGAGTCATTCTTTTTTTTTCTAGTATTTTTTGTTCTCCCCAACCACACGCCATGTCGTTGAGGGGCGGCATGGTCGCTTGGAATGGACCACGGCGGCTCGTGTTAAGTTGAGCAGCACTGTCCAGAGGGAGGAGTTGAGCGTGGTACCGGGTGGAAGACACAACCACCACGGGGCATTGACACCGCCCCGCCGGAGCATTACAACCGCTTCGGGACTAATTGCGAGGTCTTCGTAACTGCACTCGTGGACTAATTGAGAGCCCCAACTCTCTTGAAAGAAAGAGGCCGAATCCATAAAATTACCACTCGGGAGGAACGGTTCGCGAGGAAGCCCTTACGACAAGACGGGGTCCTGGGAGGCTTGGACTGGACCTGCCTTCCAGATGTGAGGAGGTACCTCAGTAATGACGCCCGTCTCCTAAGCGGCAAAAGGTCGGACGGAATAAGGGGATGGGGTGAGTTATCAGCAGGGGGAGGACTGATCACCCTTCCTTTTTGGGGCTGATGAGCCGGCATCCGCCTACTCGTTGGTGGGTCAAAGGTTGCGTACCTCCGAGTGAGAACTCGTCGTGCGATGGGGACATCGCATTTTGAGTGGGGGGAAGGTGTGCCATCTGCCAACGAAAAAGAGAAGAATGGATGAATAATTGACTTTGCGCAGGCTTGAGAAGAGGCCTGGCAAGATGTCCAGAAGAGAAACGGATGAATAATTAACGTTGCATGAGCTTGAGAAAAGGTC